TGAAGATCCTCGGCCGTTAGCCAATCAAAATCGAGGATCTGCCGGTCCAAATTTGTTGCGGCAGCTATGGTTAATATTTTTATTTTAGTATTATACGTAGATATTGATACGGAAAACGGATGACAATCAGGTGATTGAATTGATTTTTCATACTTGTTATAAGTTTCACCACGGATACATTATATTTCTAGTGATTTATTTAATCAGCGAGTGATTCTTTATATCTTTCATCATGCGATAAGTTTTTTCACGACTTCTTAATGTCCATGCAACGTTGGGTTCAATTTCTAATGATTTATTTAAATCTGTAAGTGATTCTTCATATTTATTCATAATGTGATAAGCTTCATCACAGGCTCTTAATGCTAATGCATTATGGGGTTGATTTCTAAGATTTATTTATCTAATTCATAGACAAGTATATTTTACGACGATTAATTCACAAACGAGTTTATTTCACAGACAGTTCATTTCACAAAGTAATTCTGGTCATTGTCGTTAGGAGGTTTAAAATTAGAGTTAAGGCTAGTGCAATTTATAAAAAGACACGTCTGTGAAATAAGCTGTCAATGAAATAAACTGGCTATGGAAAGAACCTGTCCGTGATTAATCGTCGGTAAAATAATCTTATCCGTAAACTAATTGTCTGTGAATTAAGTTGTCTATGAAGGTGAAATAATACTAGTGATGGTAAAGTCCGGTCCTGGTCTCGTAACCTGTAAGTTTTACTGCATGGACTTATGGACCAAGTCCTTATAAAACCAGTTATAAGACTTTAGTTAACTTAGGTTCAGTCCAAGACTTAGTCCTAGAACCTAAGTCCGCTATATGTTGTAAAAGGGCAGATTTGGGGTGAAACTTATTTTCTATAGTTCTTGGGCTTCACTTAAGGCTACAAAGCCTACTTTTCTATAGTTCTTGGGCTTTACTCCAAAGAGCCAGGGCTACAAAACCTCAAAAGGGCGGATTTGGGGTATCTAGTACTCTCAACCTAAGACAACAAAAATCAAATGCTACTACTCGAAAGAAGGTGTGGAAGATTTGGTCCGAAAACTACTGGGATCCCCGGAGTTTATCATTAGATGGTCTTTATTAATATAACACTTCACTTGTTTTCAGATACATGAAATCGATGGTTATTTTATACATTACAGAGAGCTTTGGGACTTTGTTACTACGCTTAAAATCTCTAAGTAATATGACTATTCAGAATATCGGGGGAGTAATTCATACTCATTTACATGACCATGACTAGTTCCCACCATAGAGGGCCTTACTATTGTTCTAGATCACGTTTTTTTGCTGCGGCTAGTTCACATATCCTATTAGCGATGTGAACTATATACATTAAATAAATGATTAAATGATTATGATCTTTAACTATGCATTTAAAACTTTATTGAAATTATACTGTATATATATTGATTAGGCTGTCCAGAATTATGCAATTATAAATTTTATATTAGGACTTTTAAAGACCTAAGGACCCTAGGTCTTTAAATTTGGACTTGGTCTTTAAAGACCAGGTTTAAAGACCTGGTCCTAAAATCCCGGACCTAAGGACTTTACCAACCCTAAGGATCATTATCTTTTCATCCATTGTCTCTTAAATAGGGGATGATGCTCTTTGGCGGGAGCTTTTTTCTTCGGTGTTGAACCACTTGGTTTGCCATGACCACCACTACCCTCAAAATATGCCATATGATCAGCACCAGACAAACTTTTCATATTAGTAGTACGGCGAACTATTCCCTTTGCTTGAGAATTGAAATTACGACTTGTAACAGTTCCCGGCAAATCATCAGCATTAGCTTCTATATCGTTATCAAGATCGGCAGCATTATCGTTAGCAACCAATACTTCCCCTAATAGTTTCATCTGTTCATTGTGTTCTCGATATACCAAATTTGGAGCCTTTTCCATTCCCTCAAGCTTAGTAATTACTTTAAATGCATATCCTTGGTCAATCAGAAATTGTTGCCGTTTAGTAGAATAAAACATCTCTTGTGTATCCCTTGAAACTAATGAATAAAAGAAAGCATTGAACCCTTCATCATTACGTCGTTTTGCTCTTAGAATACGTCCTATATAATGCTAATGATTAGTTTATTCACTTGCAATAATTTATAAAAAAAAACCATATATATTCTTACCTAAACGTTGTGCTTCTTGACGCCTAGATCCATAGTGCGACGAAATCTGAATTAAACACGTTGCCTCAGGCAAATCAATGGATGTATCACCAACCTATTTATTTATAAATTGTATTTATATAATACATTTTATGAGAATTTGTAGTAAAGTTAATTGTGTTTACGGTATATGTTTTTATAAAAAATTGATAGTAAATTTTAGTCTACCTTAGATAAGAAAATTGTATTGGTCGCGGAATCGTGCTGAAATTTTGAAAGAATATACATTCGCTCTGGGGGTTTTGTTTTCCCATGAATGAATGGTACTCCAAGTAATCTAGCATATTTCTAAAAAATGCTCCAAATAAGAAAACAGGCTCAAACAGGACATAAACAAATATATCAAAAAAAAAAAAAAAGAATTTACCTCTAAAGCATAAACATTATCTGAAAATACAATAACTTTGTCACCTCTTTCTTCATGATACTGAATTAAGAATTGACAAGCTTGGAGTTTATTTGGATTCATTGCGTATAATAACATGCGTTTTCTTGAAGATGCTTTAAGGTATTCAGCATAGAATTCTGGTGTCATATCACACCAAACTTCCGCACATTGAACATTGGCTATGTGTCCTTTAGATGCCAAATCCATCCAATTTGCTTCATATAATTTGGGACCAATCAAAAAATTTAAGTCCTGAATTTTGTCATCTTCACGCACTAAAGTTGCTGTAAGGCCGAGCTTTGTGTGAGCTGCAATAGTGGTTACAACTCTACGAAACATGTTTGCAGGTACGACATGAACTTCATCTAACAATATAAAACCCCACTCGCGTCCAGTTATAAAATCCATCATTTTTGATGCTTCATAAGATCTCGTTCGTGTATTAGCAACCATACTGTATGTGGAAATCACGATACCAGATTGACCTATAAACTTTGTTAACCAATATATTAAATATGATGAGAAATAATCATCAAAAGGTACAAGTCTAAGAGTAATTCTTACTTTCTCTTTCTGATCTGAAGTAAAAACAGAAATTTGGCTTTCTTTAATATTTGACCACTGTAAGAATTGTTGTTTCCATTGCATTACTGAAACCCTAAAAAAAAAAGCATGTATTTGAATTTAAACATTTATCTATAAACATTTATCAAAACAGCAAATAATGACACGCATATGTGAATACTAACGCCGAGGTGCAGAGAACAAGGCAACTCTTTTTAATAGTGCACGCAGCAGTTATACCTACAAGGGTTTTACCAGCACCACATGGCAAGACGATGATACCGGACCTTGCACGTCTAAGATTTATAAAATATGGTTAGAATATATTTGGAATAATAATATTCTGCTTGTGTGTTCTCAAAATAACACTTCCAATTTCTTGAGTAAACCAAATGGGAATGTGAACATACCCGTTTCCAAACATCTTGCTTAAACACTTTTCTTGATAAGGACGAATGACTGTAATAGGCTTCAAATCAATTTCGAGTGGAGCGAGTGTTGCATCATTTCGAAAATCATATTCTTCCAACATTGGATAATTAAGTTCGTTACATCTTTTCTTCACATTCTACATTCATGATCGAATATAAACAAGTTTATTGCCTGCTCACTAAAATAAAATAATTGTAAAGTAATTTTACCTCAAATTTTTCAGATCGAATTTCAAATGAATGAACTTCATCCTCATCTTCTTCATCCTCTGGAAAATTTTAAGCCAATAAATTTACGTAGAATTATTAAAAAATATTAATATGCTTATTTACCTTTGTCAATTGCAACAACAGTATTAAATAATAACTCATCGTCCTGAGTGTTATTTTCTTTAGCTTTATTATCTGTATCTGCAGTAGCATCATTCTTTCCCGGAATTACTAAGCCTTTATCAGTTGGTGCTTTATTAGTTATAAAGGTGTCTTGTGCTGCACCGTCAGAATTTATTCTAGCCTCTGCAATCGCTGGGTCTTGCAGAAGCATTTGTAAAACTTCTGGATGCGATGATTCAACGAAGTAACGATTTTGTTTCAGCAGAAGCTTTACCTTGCCATATGATATTGTACATTCACGAATCATTTCAATGACAGAATCAGGAATTTCAGTCTATAGGTAGTTACTCTTAGTAACTGAATTTTTTCCGAAAATAATAAAACAGAATAACTCCGCATAAACATGCCTTTGAAAGCATCTTTAGAACATCAATTATAGCTTCTGTTTCTAAACCCACGGAAACAGCAGCATAAAGTGAATAAGGGGTCATTTTATATTCATGTATAAGAGAAGGTCTACAAAGTTTCGTAATATGTATGTAATAATGATCAGAATATATTCCATTAGTTAAACATATCCAAATTTACTTACCTGCTGACTGGTTCACTAATAGTTATTAGAAAATCTTGTGCCTTTTCAGCAAAAGGCGAGAATGCTTCTAAGATTATATGTCCATTACCGGGATTTATCCAAAGCGGCCGACTGGCATGGTGATTCTTTAATTTTATTGATGAATAATCAACGATGCCATTCGGAGCCATTTTGTACGGTGGTCTAGTTATATTAAGGACAGCATTTTTCGGTACTATTTTTTTTTTTTTTTTCGTTTTTAAGATTATATTTTCACAAACACAATTCAAGCTAATACTAATCAGTTTTTAAACCTACTTAATCCTTGAAATCCACTAAAACTTTCGTCCTCAGATAAATTGTCTGTAACAGGTAATTTTACTTGTTTTTTTGTTTTCTTGGCTTTTGAAAGACCAGGTGTATATTCCTCTTCTATCATATGAAAGCAATTAAACCAAAATTTGACTTTTATGAAAAATATGTAATGAGCCACATACATACCGTCAAAAAATTTTCTTTTCGCCGAAAGTGGCATTTTACTAATCTCAAAAATGGTATTTTTTTTCAAATCAAAAAAAAAAAATTGAATTATGCAGCTAAATATACAGAAATTCACTGTCGCTAAGAATTTATATTTAAAATTGGATCAGCTGCCAGCGTAAATATGTATTTATTCGACAAATCATAATCGTTGGCGCAGCATCCATCACTCGAATATATACCTGATACAACAGGAGGATCCTCCTGTTACCTGATACTGTATAATTTATACGTAACCAGTAAGTTTTGCCCGTTTTTTTAATGCTAGCAGAAATTATTTGTAATTTTTGTAATTTGGTAACATTAAATTTTATAGTGGTAGCTTTGCGTGGTAACCATTCTCCATGTCTGCAAATCTATTCGATGTTCCTGGTTGGACTCTCGGTGATTTGGCCCCTCACGAACCTCTAAAAACTCCCGAATCTCATAAATCGAAAAAAAAAAAGCATAAAAACCAGAAATGTAAAGGGGTTAACGAAAAAGAACTCACTTTGGGAAGTAGTAAAAAACGCAAACTGAATGATCTCGACTATTTAGAAGAAAAAACAACAAAAGATAAAAAGGATAAATCTTTCGTAAGGATCTCAGATAAACATAAAAAATTCAAAAACAACAATTCTTCGAAACCTATCATAAAATTTCAAAAGGAAGTTATTGACGAATGTAATAACGATAAAGAGGAAATCGAGGTAACCGCTAACTTCAGTTATTAAAATATATTTATTTATTTATTTATCTTAAAATTTAAAAATTTATAAATCTAGAATCATTCCGTTAATAACAATGAATTAAAAATCGACGATGCAAAAGTATTATCAACATTGGGATTTAATATTGAAGTGTATATTAGTTTCTTCGATCTGTGCTGCTTATCTTGATAATTTACTTTGTGCATCAAGAATGACCGCATCAATAATGAAAAAATGCTAAAAAGCCTTTCGAAAGGCAAGTTTCGTTGGATTAATGAAAAACTTTATACATCGTCGAGTTCCTCTGCCCTGGAACTATTTCAGAATAATCCTCTTATGTTTGATGAGGTAAAAAGCGTTTGATTTTCTTGGGTTTGCTTTTGAGTATACTAACATTCTTACTTCCTTAGTACCATCAAGGTTTTCGTTCGGCTGTCAGTTCTTGGCCCGTGAACCCTGTCGATATTTTTATAGATTACTTAAAGGGAAAGCCAAAAGAATGGATTGTAGCCGATTTAGGTTGTGGTGAAGGTAAGATCTCCCAAGAAGCTCCCAACAAAGTGCTTTCTTTTGACTTGGTAGCAAAAAATCACATGACTATTGAATGCGATATCGCAAAGGTTTGTATCTAATTTTTTTTTTCCTCGCTAATTATTTTAAAAAGCTTTATCAATAATTATTTCACGACAGGGTGAAACCCGCCCTGTCAATTAGTGAAATCCGCGTTGATCAGCTAAATTAGGTAAAACCTGATATGTAACGCGGATTTCACCGTCAAAATAAAATCTGCATCAAAACTCTGAGCCACCTGACCAAATTCGATGATTTTTTTTATTTGAATTAATAAATTCACAGAATTCAAATAAAAAATTTTTTATTAAATTTGATTAGTTGGCTATCGAGATATCTTCGCTCAAAGGTTTAGAAAAAATCAAACCGTCTATTAGAATTGAAGCTGCGCCAAACTTTGAACGAAGCTCTCGATAACCTCCCGATCAAATTCAATGAAAACTTTTTCATTTGAATTCTATGGATCCATAGAATTTAAATTAAAAAAATTCATCGAATTTGATCAGGTGGTTATCGAGATATCTTCGTTCAAAGGTTTAAAAAAATTTGGCACAGCTTCAATTCTAATAGGCGTTTTGATTTTTTCTAAACATATACCTCAACAACCACCCGATAAAATTTAATAAACTTTTTTTATTTGAATTCTGTGGATTTATAGAATTAAAATAAAAAAATTCATAGAATTTTGGTCAAGTGGTTATCGAGATATCCTCGCTCAAAGTTTTGGTGCTGCTTCTATTCAAATAGTCGTTTTAATTTTTTCTAAAGCTTTGAGTGAATATATCTCGATGACCACTTGACCAAATTCGATGAAATTTTTTATTTAAATTCTATGGATCTACAGTATATAATTCAAATAAAAAATTTTCGTCGAATTTGATCAGGTGGTTATCGAGATATTTTCGTTCAAAATTTTAAAATAATTTGGCGCAGCTTTAATTCTAATAGGTTTGAAAATTTTGAGCGAAGATATTCCGACAGCCACCTGATCAAATTTAATAACCCTTTTTTTATTTGGATCCTGACGATTTATAGAATTCAAATAAAAAAAGTTCATCGAATTTGGTCAAGTGGTTATCGAGATATCTTCGCTCAAAGTTTTTAAAAAAATTTAGCACAGCTTCTATTCAGATAGGCGTTTTGATTTTTTCTAAACCTTTGAGCGAAAATATCTAGATACCCACTTGATCAAGTTCGATGAAAATTTTTTTATTTAAATTCTATGGATTTATAAAATTCAAATAAAAAAATTTGATCAGGTGATTATCGAGATATCTTCGTCAAAGTTTTAAAAAATTTGGCGCAGCTTCAATTCTAATAGGCGTTTTGATTTTTTCTAAAACCTTGAGCGAGGATATATCAACAACCTGATCAATTTTAATTATTTTTTTCTTTTTTGAATTTTATGGATTCATAGAATTCAAATAAAAAAAATTTCATCGAATTTGGTCAAGATATATTCGCTCAAAGTTTGGTGCAGTTTTTATTTTGACGGTGAAATCCGCGCTACATTTCAGGTTTTACCTAATTTAGCTGATCGGCGCGGATTTTACTAATTGGCAGGGCGGGTTTCACCCTGTCATATTATTTCTAATCATCTTAATTATTCCAAATCTTGTTTTAATATCCTTAAGCTACCAATTCCAAATTCTTTATTCGATATCGCTATATTTTGTCTATCCTTGATGGGAACAAACTATGTTGACTTTCTAAAAGAAGCTTATCGAACATTAAAACCAAAGTAAGTCTTGACATTATTTCTTAGAATTTCATTCTTGTTTTGTAATTCGTCTTCTTATAATCATGCTATCAAAAAGGGGTGAGTTAAAAATTGCTGAAGTGGTAAGTCGTTTTTCTGACATTGATGCTTTCATTGAGGCTCTTGCAGAAATCGGGTTTAAATTCGCGAAAAAAGTATGAATTATTGTTCCTATTAATCTTATGTCTCTTTAATATTTTATTAAAGATCTTTTTTATTAATTTAAGGATGATACAAATAAAATGTTTATTATCTTAGACTTCATTAAGTCTAAACCAAAACCCGTTAAGTCAAATCAGTCTTTGTTGCCTACGGCATCTAATTTGTTGAAACATTGCAACTATAAGAAACGTTAAATATTGATTTTTATGTTATACTTTTTCTTATTGTTGACTACAAGTTTAAACCAATTTGTACTATACTAGTTTATTCTTCCTATGACCAGACCTATTTTTTCTTTTTTTTTTTTTTTTGATTCGTATTACTATTAAAAAATATAAATTACCAAAAAATTGGTTTTTGTTATAAATTAATTTCAGTAAGAAACAAATAAATTTTTTAAAATACATTTTTTTTTTACCAAAGTTTGCGACTAAATAACAAGAGTGGCAACTAGGGATGTTAACGGCTGGCTTGGCTAAGCTCGGCTCAAAAAGCCATGGCTCAAAGCTCAAACCATAGCTTAATAACTATGGTTTAAGCCATAGTTTTAAACTATGGCTTGAAGCTGGCTATAATTTTTTAAAAAGACAAAAAAATAAATATCTTAACTTTTAATAAAAATTCAATACACATTTATTTGCTAGTTAAAATTTGTTCAATTATTTTTTTCAACTATTTTTTTTCAATATTTGGAATTTAGTCATACTGATACAACAAAATTTAAAATACAAAGCATATTGTGTAGTTAATTATTTTTTTGATGCAATCAAATTTTATAAGCCGGTTTTTAGCCGTGGTTTAAACTATAGTTCAAGCTATAGTTCAAAGCTAAGGCTCTATGATATTTTAATGATGCAATATTGATATATTAAGCTGCTAGCCTGGCTTTAAATGGCTTGGCTACAAAACTATGGCTGAGCCGGCTTTAAACAAGTCATTAACATCCCTAGTGGCAATGTACCCAATACTTGTTAATTCTCAAAGTAAAATGGCCGGCAATATATGATTTATCATTTATGTATCAGAATTGAATGACACAAAAATTGGTAGATTTTTCACTGACAACATATTATCTTAACAAAATATGTTGATATATATAAATCCAATTCCAAGCTTTAGTGATATCTAAATGACTTTCTATTATTGAACTTTTAAATATGTTATGCTTTAAAAGGTACATACTGTACATTCATAACTTAGAAAACATATAATGAAATGAACTTGACTATTTAGAAGAAAAAACAATAAAAGATAAAAAGGATAAATCTTTTGTAAGGATTTCAGATAAATATAAAAAATTCAAACTGATGAGTGTAATAATGATAAAGAGGAAATCAAGATAAAATATATATATTTATTTATCTTAAAATTTATAAATCTAGAATCAGAGTTAAGGTCAATCTGCCTTATTTCTATTGATGGCAGCTATATTTATAGTATATATATATTTTTTTTTTTTGGGGGGGATTAGGTAGGGCTTAAGCCAATTTACTTATTTGTGCCGGTAATACAAACCAAAAAAAGAAATTGCATTTGTAAATAAACTAAAAAAGTTTAGGATTAGAACGTTAGGGTTAGCATTAGAGTTAGTGCTAGGATTGTGAGCTTTTAGTGATAATTTGAGTTTTTTATATATAAAATTTCATTCCTGTTATTTTTTATTAGTTCAAAAAGATTGATTTAAACACTAGTTTTTGAGTATTTTCTCTTTTTTGGTGTTTTTTTTTGCTTTGTTCACATGTTGAGCTGATCTGGGATCATTACATTTTACATTTTCTGATTGGCCATTTCCTTTATAGAGGTTTATATTACTAGCACAAATAAGTGGATATGGGCTTAAGCCCACTTACCCACCAACCCAGAAACCGATATTCACTGTGATTATTCAGATTACCTGGTTGATCTATAAAATTTTTTTATACAGTATTGTTAGGGATACTAACAGCTTGACTCGACTTGTATATTTATTATTTTGTAATGCTGTAAACGAAGTCACATAGTATTCATTTGTCATGAGACTGTGACCCAGTTCTATAACCTGGAACAGATGTTCATTAAGTATGATGTATTTATAATAGGACTTAATTTGATTGATTAAGTGATGTATTAGTTTGTTTGATGTGTTTAAGTAGTTTATTGTGTAGGAATGTTTTAAGTTGTGGGTAAGAATGAAGTCATAGTAGTTGGTTTTTTAAGGAAGAGAAGTTGGTTTTTTGTTCTCCCTCTTTTGTTTTTGCTACTAGCTTGATACAAGTCTAGCTTTGTCGTTTGTACCCACCCTCCTGCCACTTGTAAGGTTTTTAAGAGGGTTAGAATTTTTACAATACATGATACTAGGAACCAACTGTGAATTATATAAGCAGCAGGGCGATATCTTATTTTGTGTTCTTTGTAGCATGTTAGTTGTTTATAGAGTTGAGTGACAAATTATTATTTTTAATCACTAGAGTCGATTTAATCGTTAGCATCTAAGTCAACTAAATTTATTTAGACAACTTGATTTGGTATTCAGAAATAATTTTATATTCCAGTTTGTAATCCAGAAAGCAAATTTTATATGAGCTTAACCTTTAGGCCTGGGGACATTATATTAGATAACTTGAATGTTACAATTATAATGAAAGTACAACTAGCCACATGTATGTTTTTGGTGTCTAATTAAGTAGTTTGCTCAAGGTTCTACACTAGATGCCATACCTGCAACCCGACTATGGGGCTATCCATTTAAACTTTTCAATCATGACTAGTCAATTCATCATACATCTAATATGGGTGTAACTTACTATTCATATGTAGATTTTGCAACATTATTACTGTTCCAATGCTATAGCCTTCTTGGTTATGCTATAGCAAGGTAATAAGGTTACTTGATGCAGTAATATATATAGGGTGGATGTGAAGTGTATACTTTATTTTACAGCAGGAGGCAAATGGTTCAAGATAATAACAGTTTATAGAAATAATAATACTTTATTAATAACAAGTTTATAGTAATATTCTTTATTATAGGAATAACCTATAGAGAAAATATTACATTATACAAATATAAGAAAAGTAATAAGAGTAGTTAGATAAAGTTAGATTCTATGAGAAGGTAGGGAACTCTAACTTGAGTAGAAGAGTAAAAGTTTTCTTTTTATAACTTTTCTATACATAAAAAGTATAACAGATTAATAGTTAAATTATGTAAAGGCATTTAGAGGTATTTGTGCAGAGGTATCTAAAGGCAGTGTTATATATAGGACGTGTCTACACTATATAAAATATCCAACATCCAAGCCTATGTCCCATGTTTAACTAATCAATAAAATAATTTAAAAAAATATATAATTATATATTTTTTTAAATGCTAGACTCATTAGTAAAAAAATTAAAATAGACTATTTTAATAAAATTTGAGTAATTTTAAATTGAAAAAATGTCCAAAATTGTCTCATATACAACACTGCCTAGAGGCACTTGTATAGAGGCACTCATATGATTTTGGATCAAAATTCCAAACAACAGATTATCAAAAGAACATAATACTGACTAAATTGGCTAGCATTATGGCTATTACCTGCTAACTTTGTTGGTATTACGTTTTTTCAAATATCTATTTTTCAGAATTTTGACCCAAATTCCACTTATATAAAAGTACTTGAAGATACTCATATAGAGGCACTTGGAGGTACTTGTGTTATCTTAGGTGCAGTATTACTATGCTAGATATAACTAGCCAATAACATCTCTATAACTAATATACAGTGCTGGATACCAAAAGCTATATATTTTTTATAGTAAAATTTTTAAATTGATATAACTTTTTAAAAAATAAACCAATACAAAAAATTTTTTATACAATTGATAGATTTTTAGTTAAACTATAAATTTTATAAAAAAAAATTATTTTTTATTTTGTTTTTTTTTAAAAAAAAAAAAAAAAAAAAATTTAACCAATTTAACTTAATTAAACTAGTTAAATTAATCAAAATTTTTTTTTTTTTAACTCTTTGACGGTCTTGTCAAAGCTCAAATACAAAAACTTTATTTATTTAATCAACAATAGTAAACCATTCCAACTAAACTAAACCTTAAAAATTGCAAGCTTGACATCTCTTGGCTGCAGAAACCGTGTCTATAAGCGACTTGTCACACCATCTTGTATACAAGTTGGATAGATCTTGTCAGCCCGTCGAGAGCTAATCCTTTCAATTCTTCTTTCTTTACCAAGAGCAAAAGAAAGTAGTAATTTTATACTAATACTACAAAACTACCAATCATGAAACAAAAAAAAAACTATATCTAATAACAAAACAAATTAAATAAAAAAGAAATTTTAAAAGAACAAAAAAAAAAAAAAAAAAGGACATGTAAAAAAAGAAAAACAAAAAGAAAAGCCAAGAAGGCTAACAAAGTAGATGCTACCTCTATCAAGAAGCAGCCAAGCAACCGAAGGTTGCTACGAACAAGAAAAATACACTGTTATAACCTATGCTAAGTTACAATAAAAATTTTATAACAACTACAACCATTGTATATCTCAAATCCGAAAACAAAAAAAAAAAAAAAAAAACATAATGTATACTCTCTGACTAACAGCCAAATCCCAATACCTCTTTAACCTGAGACCCAATCCAAGTCACGTGGAGTAACGCTATATCTTCTAAATAAACAAAACGTGTCGGTTGTAATATACCGAGTCCGTCCGAATTTGGATATAAACAATGCCGATCTTTTAGAGAGGATAAGCCAAATCCCCACTTTTTGTTGAAATTTTTAGAAAAAAGGCAGGAAGTCGAAAATAAGTAGTAGAGAAGTCACTTGAGACAAAAAAAAGAGTGTGGCTTTAGAGCAATAGATAGTTTGTTGTTTCCCCAGTGTTCTTCTTCAAAGTAATGACCTAAAAGCTTCGTTGACAATGTTAGTCCGTTTTTGAACAACCCACCACCAAGATTTTTTATACAAGGGCACCACCTGCCAGTTATCTTGTATAATAATGCTCTTGGCCTGCATGCCAAACATTCCTTGTAGAGGAGTTCCCCATAGCAGTAGATTAATCTCTAAACAAATCACCAGTAGACCACGACTCTTTAACAAATTTTTCTGTTTTTCGTTTATAGGAATTTTGGTCCAAGTAATCGTTAGAAAGAGTTAAATTAATCAAATTAGATTAGTTAAATTTTATTTAATTAGTTTATAAAACTAAACTATT